CAGGAAGCCTATTTGGCTGGAATGTGGTTTGTGTAAGAGGGAGTAATGTGCAGTCATCCATACTAGCACAGGTGAAGGGCACGTCCCACTGTTTTGTTAAAAATCTGTAAACTAACTTCTCAGTAGGGTTTGCTTGGCTGTTGAGGGGTGTGGGGGTGTGTGTGTGTGTGTGTGTGTGTCTACGTATATATACACACATATATACATACACACACACATATAGACATCCATTTTAGTAGTCCAGGCAAAAGAGAGATTGAGGGCCACAACTAGAGTGTTTATTATGAATGTGAGAAATTAAATTATAATAGGAATAGAGAGGATTTGAATATAGGAAATATTGTGAAGGGAGACATATGTGATCTTGGAAATTAATTGGATGCAAAGGTTAAGGAAAAAATAGAGAACCCTGAGGTTTTTAGTGGGGCTAAGTGGAGAATCAAAATACCCATTAACCAATAAAGAAACCAGAAAAGGATGTATTTTTGTCTGAGAAAGAGGATGATTTCAGCTTGGGGCATGTTGAATTGGAGGTGCCAGTGAGGCAGCCAGTTACAGATGCTTTTGAAGGTAGTTAGAAATGGAGGTCTGTGGCTAAGCAGATGAGAGTTGGGCAGTTGTGTGTTTGGCAGTCAGATGAAGAATTGGGGTGGTGGAAGTCCCAAGCAGATGGAGGGCACAAGGAGGAGGGATGGAGGGATAGTTTGGGGAGGAGGAGTCAGCAAAGGAATGACCGGGAGACATAAAATGGGGACCAGGAGGTCCAGTATTCAGGAAACCACAGGAAGAAGAAGTTATTAATTAAGGGAGAGGAGAAGTCCGGGCTGCCCAGTGGTCAAGGAAAACAAAGGCTGAGACAAAAACCCCTTGATTTGACAGTTAGGTCTAATGTGGCCTTCAGGAGAATGCAGTAGCAGCAGAAGCCATATTGCAAGGGAGGTGAGTGGCAGGTGTGGAGGCAGAGAGGAGCTGTGAATGGTGGGCAGTGAAAGGAAGGAGAGCATGGGATGGTAGCCCAGGGTAGTGTCAGCTTGGAGGAAGAGAGGTGGAGCCTTTTGTTTATTTTCTTACAGTATGAGGGAGGCCTGAGTATGGTTGTCAGCAGAGGAGAAGGGGCAGACATGCAGGGAGAAGAGCATCACAGAAGCAGGAGTCTAGGGGATTAAGGACCAGATTTGGGAATGATGCTGGTAGCCTCTTCCTCTGAGATAGGAGGCATGAGTAGGGAGGGGCTAGGGTTCGAGCTATGGCAGGCATTAAATGGGGAGACGCAGCCTGAATAGCTTCGGGATTCCTCAGTAGAAGAACTGAGATTGTCCACTGCAAGTGTGACATTTGGGCCTCTGGAAAATGGGAAAGGGCCAGCTGCTTTCAGGAAACCGAGTAGAATAAATAATAATAACCGACATTTCCCCACCTTTGACAGATGACAGGAACAATAGCTAGCATTTATACGGCGCTTCTTAGGTTTGCAAAGAACTTTACAAATAATTCATTGGAATCTCACAACAACCACAAGAGGTAGGTGCTATTATTAGCCCCATTTTACAGATGAGGAAACTGAGGCAGACAGAGGTTCATTGACTTACCCAGGGTCACACAGCCAGGGTACATCTTCCTGATTTCAAGTTTTGTGCTCTATCCACTGTGAAATCCAGCTGCCTTCGGGATCCTGCATAAGTCACTCAACCCCTCGGTACTCTGGGTTAGAGGTATCCAACCGCCTGGTGCATGCCACCAGCCCTCCCCAGCAGGGCCTGAGCCAGATTAAAATGTAATTGAGAATTATGTAATGAAGTGAAAATACAATAAAATACAGATAACATTCATTACATTTTAAAATGAAGTCAGTCTGTGGCCGCAGGGATCCTGATGTCTGGGTTAATGGCCCCCATTTGTTTCTGAGTTTGACCCCGCTGCTCTAAACTAAGGCCAGGCCCAGCCCCTCTCCCAGTCTCACAAACATTTTTGGTGATTCGTTCTTCACTCCCTTTTCACGTTTGGGACACACTTTGTGCCCATTGTGCCGCAGAAGGTAAGTGCCTGAGGGCAGGAACTGTCTCCCTTCTGTGTGGAGTCCCTGGCATACACCCTGGCACCTAGTAGGCTCTTAATAAAGGCCTGTTGATTGACTGATTGTGAGCAAGGCAGGTGGTGTGTTAGATGAGGAATCTGATTGGCTGAGCAGCAGCTAGTGAGTGTTGGGTGGGATGTAACCCCAGGTGTCCTGACTCCTCTCTCAGCTCTCTGTAGATGATGTTGAAGGAGGACTGCTGAGGGGGGTGGCATGGAAATTTAGCCGGCCAGGCTGTGCCAGGTTTGGCTTTGGTTACTTTGGGGTCCCTGCCTTGATTCAAACACTTGGGATTTTTAAAAGAATTCTTTTAAAAACAAGTTCAGAGTTGCAGGCTTCCCTCTCTCTTTGGTGCATTCCCCTTTGGAAGGCTTCCTGAGGTCTCTTCACTCATGCTGCTTTTGCCCTCGGAGGAGTCTGGCCCACTTGCCGGGGACAGCTTTCCGAGGCCTGCCCTGGCGCCAGGCCCTAGAGAGAGGGGAGCTGTGAAGACGCAGCTTGGACTCCCCTGGGTCAGCAAACCACACTGCAGGTAGACCAAGCCTCTGGCCCAGTTAATACAAGGCCCCAAGGCTCCCCATAATTTGTCTGTTGCTGATGCAAGAAACACCTTTTCGTAGGCAGGAAACCCAGTTTTAAGCTGTTCCCAAAATGAAGCCCTGTTGATGGGGTCAGTGGTGGGTGGTGTTCCCTTTTCTCGATTTCATTTGAAATTTAACACTGCTTCTGTTGACTTGTGAGGACCAGGAGGCCTCATCCTTTTTTATTAGATTGTCGATTGCATCAGATTAAAGAGTTTTTTGTTTTGACTCTGGAGGTATTTGAGCTGGTGTTGGCCTGCTGTCATCCCCATCTTGTTGCAAATCAAAAGCATTTCTCTGCGTTTTACTGGAATGACAGGATGCAAGGTGACAGAGAGCCACACCTTGCTTGACAGGTCAGGTAGAACAATGTCTCTTGTTGGAGTGAGAAATCCGGGTTTGGGGAGAGTCTCGGCTCTGATTCAGCTGCTGATCCTGCTCAGTTATTTATAAAGTTTTGTGTCCTGACAGAGCGGGAATGAATCCAATTAAAGTCCATGGCAAGAAATGAGGTACAGGGAAGAAGAGTTTCGGTAGCAACATTGGAGAGAAAGTACATTGGCAAGAGAATGTCACATAACTTGAGTGTATTGAAAATGCTCCCATCCATCACCTGGTAGTTAGATAAATGTTACGCCCTTGCCCCAGTAAGGAGTCTGGTGGAAAATTCCAGCACCCAATAAATAAAAAGAGTGGTAAGTTTCTTCAAGGTCAGTGACTTTAACCCTGCCCCAATCCCAGAATTGCTTATCCCATGATTTGTAATCGACTTTACTGTTCCCCTCTGCCATCCTTCCCCTTTTCAGACACCTGGAGCATCCCTAGGCTTTTCCCAGATACAGGAGGTAGCAGCCTCAGTTTAATTTTTCGTGACAGCATCATTCACAGGTCAGCTGAAATAATGCTGTCGGCCTCACGAGAGATGATGTGGGGCCTAACATGAGACTGAACTTGATGTCAGGTTCAAAAGGTTTGTTTTGTTTTAACTTTGGGTGACTCTGGTTGGCTCTTTAGATACCATCTCTCCTCAGGAGCCAAAACCATTTTTAAAAGTAAGATGATTCTTGCAAATCACCCATCTCAGACTTTCACATAGAGGTGACAGGCATTTGAAAGTGGGGTGTTTATTGAAGAAAATTGGGAAATTTGCATTCCATCTGTGGTTGTCGTCATCAGGTCTTGGTTTCCGTCTGGCCCTTCAGTGTCTCTGGAGCGTTGTTGGCTAACTAGCCTACAAACAGGAAGATTTCAAAGCCCCTGCTATAAGAAGACATTTGGCGGTGGGAGTTTGGAGTGATTCTTGTAGACACCAAGATATTAATTTGCTTCATATGGAACTCTAGGAACTCACCTAGAATGTGCTAAGTATTTGGTGCCTAATAATGGATAGCGTACACTTTTGTAAATTAAACAAACTCAGCATTTTAAAGAATTTATGATGAGGCTGGTTAGTGGTAACTGACAAGCCAGCATCTTCCAGTTATCCAAATGGATTAATCTTATCAAATAATTCACTTACGTAGATTGTACATTTCTGTTTTTCTGGCAACTCCTAATGCTCATGACAGCCTTCCTGAAAAAGAGCTGATACTTCTGAGGATGAGTTTGTTTTTGAGATCTCTTATCAAGAGTAAGCCTGTGTGGTCCCTGCTTAATTCTGAATCACTTCCCTCTTAGAAGCTGGTAGAGCTATGTGTGGTATTTTGTCTTGCGCCTTTGGTGTCTTGATGGTTTGAACCTGAGTTTGACCATATGTAGCCCGGTCAGCTTATAAAAAGGGAGTGAAACGATTCATTGGGAAATTTCAGTACAAATACTTAAGGAATGATGATAAGATAACCCCAGAAACATTTTTAATGGTGTTGTCTCTAGTGGGTAATGACAAAAAAACATGAGAAAATCGCTCAGGCATGGCTTGTTTCTTAGCCATAGCTCGCTGTTCTGAGCCAAGGGGAGGGCCAGGGCCATGAGGGAGAGAGAAAAGCCCTCCAATCGCTAACTCTGCAGCACTGCAGATCATTGGGTAAATGTGACTCCAGTGGAGAGCCTGGATGCAGGCACATTCATGGGTAGAGGGCGCTGGACATGGACAAGAACCATGAGGATTCTGTAAGCCCGGAACCAGCACGTGGCTTCTGGGGGCCCACGTGAGGCCTTCAGAGGGGGACCCTTGGCTAGGCCAGCACCTTTGCGTGGAAGGACCAGTGCTCCTGGAGGTTGCTCAGAGCCACCTGGTGTGGTCAGTGGAGGGATTTTCTTTTAAAATTCTCTATTCAGGGGAAGGATTGATCTCCCAGGGATTGAAAGACTCAAGTGAGTTGGGTTGTCTGTCTTTTGCTTTTCAGAAAGAAGACACAGCTCCTCCAACAAGCCCCCTCTGACGGCACCGCCATCCTCTGTGTATTCCTTCTTTTCTTCCCTGTCAAAAAGCAAAGGTAACAACAGCAGCACAGGTGGGAACAGCCGTTCTTGTGGCGCAGGCGTTATCAGCGCACCCTCGTCCAATTCCAAGTTGTTGAAATCGCCCAAAGACAAGCCGCAGCTCAGTGGAAACAGTAGGCCAATGCATGCGGTCCAGCACAGCCGAATTCCCCACGATAAGATGTGAGTATGTTCTCTGTCACAGAGGTAGCAAGTAGGGCTTTGGGGCAGGAGAAGGAGTGGCGGTTTCAGAGGTAGGCAGTCACATCTGCCGGGTGAAACTGGGGTGGAGGCGGAGGAGGACGCCCATCCCCCGCAAGCAGGTCTCGGGCCCGGGCACAAGAGTGATAAGCAAAGAGAAAGACTCTCACTTCCAGGCAGTTTATTGGCTCAAGTCCATGTTGGCTGTGGGAGATGGTAGGCTCCCTGAGTCAGTGGGAAAGTGTAGACAGTCTCATCTCCCTCTCAGCTTCAACCTGGCCTCCCCATCTCAGGGCAGGCCTCACACCCTAATCCAGGGAGATCCCCTGAGCAGCACATTGACAGCATGGGGAAGCAGCCATGGCCGGGGGCGCTGGTGAAGCCCCCAGCCCCACAGAACATCACTGTCCTGGGCACGGAGCAGAGAGCCAAGCCAAATGCCCACCCCTCGAGTGGTCCGACCAGTCATAACCCATAAAAGCATGTCATTCATGTCATTCCAGGCTTGCTTGGAATTGATGACATTTGCGCAGAGCTGGCTGAAGTTTACCTTTCAGTAAACCTCTTATCAAAAACGTGTGAGACAAAGCTTTTAAAAACCATAGAATGATCTTATGTACAATTGATATGTTCATTTGGAATGTTTTTTATTCCTTCATTAACAGTGTCCCAGAGGACCTTTGCTCTTGGCAACATGCTCTTAGCCTAGTTTGAATTATGATACTGTAATGCTGTAAACTTCTGTAATTAAGGTGGTTTTTTCTTCCAATTGTGCTAAATTTGTGAGGTTTTTCTGTATTTTATTTTTATCCTTTTTTTTTTTTCTTTTGAGAACATTGTTTTTAAAAAAGTTTTTCCTGTGAGGATTCTCCAGGTGATCTTGCTGGCTTTCTACAGATTTGGGGCTTTTGTTTGTTTTATTTTTTGGTCTGACCTACAAATTCCCCAGGCAGAAGCCTTCCCTTGATGGAGGTGAGCAGCTCACCTGTAAGTTGGGCTTAGTGAGTTGCCTTGAGAGAGGGCCTTAAGAACTGAAGCTACTTGCCCAGGGCCACCCTCCAAGGATGTGTCAGAGGCTCAGTCTTGTGACGCCCAGGCCAGCTGTCCTCTCACAATACCACGTTGCCTTGTGTCTTTGGGCTTTCTACCATGAATTCATCTGTCTCTGGTGTGAGTTTCCTTATGGCCTCCCCATTGGATCTTTCACCCCGACTCCCAAGACATCTTTCCCTTTGTTTCCGCGTCTGGTGTCCTGGAAGCTCTGGTTAAGAACCCTTTTCTGGACCAGACCCCCATTACCTGCCCATCTCTGAGGTGCCTGTCTTCTTTTTTCTCTCCATCAATGGTAGCTTGACGCCTTCGGTCAAGGTGGAAAAGATCCACCCAAAGATGGATGGGGCACTACTGAAAACTGCTCTCGGTTCGGCTGGCTCTACTACTGTGAGTTCCTCCATCAAGACTGGCCTTAATTGTCCCTCAATACCAAAGCCACCCTTGCCTTCCCCTGGACAGATACTGAATGGTCAAGGTCTTCTTCCTGCCCCTCCAATTTTGGAAAAGAAGTCAGAAGATCATTCAAATAATAGGAAATTTTTACATAAGAGATTATCAGGTAACTTTGCATCTGCTGCTATCCTCCCACTGCCTTTTCTTCAGAAAGTAGGGGCACTAAGTGTCCAGGTGGATCAGCTCAGGCAGTCCCCTTATCTCCTGTTGAGCCGTCATGTGTACTTCCTTGTCTTCAAGGGATTTGTCTCTGGGTTTGGGTTTTTTTGTTGTCGGGGGTTTTGTGAGCTTTTTTTTGGGTGGGGGTGGTTTTCTGATCTGGACCTGTGATTCCATCAGTGGTGGGAAATTCCCTTTGTAAAAACTTCCTCTGCTGATGTAGATTGGCACCTCCTGTGCATTCTGAGGGATTTGCCATAGGGAGGGAAAGTTTCAGTGACTTAGCCCTGGTCACAGTGCGGCACTGTGTGGCACAGACATGACTCACGGCCAGGGCTTCTGACTCCAACGGTAGCCCTCTCTCTTCTCCGCCCTGCAGCCTCTCTTAGATAACATAACATGAAAAGCGTCCTGGAGTAACCACTGTGTGATGAATGCTACGTAATTGTTTTCAGTGTCTTTATGCACTGATGAGGGATAAGCTACTTCATAACCGGTTTGTCCCTGTGATGGACAGAGATACTTTCACCTGCTCTCAGGGATGCTTCCTTCACCTTTCAATTCCTCACAGGGATCATAGATGGGAAGAGACCTGAGGCCATTGAATCCAACCCTCTTATTGAACAGATGAGGAAATTGAGGCCCAGAGAGGGAAAGACTCTTGGAGAAGACAAAATAACAGCTTTTTTTCTTTTTCTTAAATCAATACTAATATATGGTGGATTGATTGGTTGATAGTTTTACATGTATAGAGAGGCATTTGTAATTTAAATTATAATTAATCATTTTATCTCTGAAGGGAGCAAAAACCACCTTAGGAGTATTCCGGGGCCATTGTAATGTGTCTGTATCTTTCTGACAGAGAGAGAGTTTGATCCTGACATATATTGTGGTGTCATTGATGTGGAGACCAAGAAGCCGTGCACTAGGTCTTTGACATGCAAGGTAGGACACCTTCTCTCCGTTGAGTTGTGCTGTCGGTCACGCTTTTAAATTGAGGTGGTTGAGTGAATGCACCCCGCTCCTCTCCCAAGCATCTCCTCGGCTCTTTGGTGTGATGAGCTGTGGCTTAGGGAGCATAGGAGCTTGCTTGATGCAGACCACCCAGTTCAAGCCTTCTGCAGCAGAGAATGAAGTGAGGAGAGAACAGCTGCCCCTTTGCCTTCCCTCCTCCTCTCACTCCCAGGCCTTAATTTGCAGAGCATTGGGCTCCTTCTCACATAAATAAAAATGTGAGGTTCATGTCTTCAGATTGATTTTGAAAGAATATCGCGATTCCCTGAATGCACAAAAATGAATGCTTTTCAATGTGTACTAATCCCCTTTGAGTCAGCTGCCCCATAGCCTACAGAACCCATCTTAAAGAGAATTCTTTAAACATAAGGCCACGTTTTCTCCACTCTTTTTAATGTTTGCTTTGTAGTCCAGTCGTTCCAAACACAAGCCTCCCCCTGGATGCATCTTTAGTGTTAGAACAAGATCAAAAGTCCAGCTTTCTCCTGGAACATCTTCTTTGACGTTTCCTATCTTGACTAACACCCTGATCTATAGATTCAGCCATTGAAGGAGATAAGATGGCCAAAAGTATTAGCAAACGCTGACCCCGATTGGCCGAGATGAACTCCAGAGTTATCTAGGGATATAGAAGGGCTTTGCTCAGTTGGGTAGTCTGTGGTTCCCAAGAATTCTTTCATGGGAGATATAAAAAATAGTATGGAAGCAGTCAGAAAAACATTTCTCCGTCTCTCTGTGCATTGTTTTCTCTCTCCAAGTCGCTGGTATTTGTATCACATATTTGGAAGCCCGGGGATGACTCATACGTGAGCTAATCACGAAAGCTTTCAGTTTCCCGTGACTTCGCATAGGCAAGAACAGTCAAGTCAAGTTGTTATTCTGCTCAAACTCTGGTGCATTTGATTCGCTCGTATCTGCAAGGGGCGGACTTTTGGGAAACACTGCCCAAGCAGGCTAGTTTTATCAGTACTGTAAAGCTGAACTGTGTTCTGAAGTCAAATTCTTGGAAAAGCCCCAAATTCTTCAGCTACATAGTGGTTTGCTGATTTATTTTCCTGTTTGCTGAAGTCCTCTCCTTAAGCCTTGCCTAGTCTGCCTTTCAGACCCTGACAGCACCCCAGCAAGGTGTCAGTCAGTCTGTTAAATGTGCACATCAAAAATTCCCTTTTCACTGAATGTTGCCCATCGACACAGGGCCACTTCCCGGGGCCTCTCGTTTACTCCCCCCTCGTTAGAATTTGACTTTAAATTTGCAAGATTTTCCCAGCTTGCCTCCAAAGTAGGTGTCTGCTGTGTGTGACCCTGACTCAGGCGCCTCCTCTGTCCTGCAGGAAAGCATTCCGGCTGTAGTCCACTTTCAGGCGTCTCTCTGCCCTCTCCCCCTTCCATCTGTCTGTAGGCATGCCTTCTTGTAGAAAGCCCTCCTCTGGCGGTTGGGTGTCATCTTTATCTCCCCCTTTGACCTCTCCCCGATGCCAGCCTTTGCCCACTGTCTTCTCTCTACTCAGTCCCATCCACCGAGCCACTTTCTTCCACGTCCTTAGTGACCTCCGGGCGACCCCGCCGGCCTTCTTTGTTCTCCTCCTGTTTGACTTTGCTTCCAGGTTTGACTCTGTTGACCGCCCCTTCCTTCTGCCTGTTCTTGCAGGTTCAGAGATTCCACACTGCTCTGGTTCTCTTCCTCTGTCTTCTCCGCTGGCTTGTCCTCCTCTTCCTTATTCCTTCAGGTGGGTGCTCCCTAAGGTTCGCTCCCGGGCGTCCTCACTCCTCCCCGCCGCTTCCACTGCCCCTCTCGGCAGCGTTTGGATCTCCAGGCTTGAGCTCCACACCCGCATCTCCAGCTGTTTACAGGACATCTGCCATGTCTGAAATCAAGCTTACTGTCTTGCCCCTGGACTTGTTCCTCCTTCCCACTTGAGTCTTTCTGTCTGTGGCTGCACCAGCCGCCCGTGGTCACAACCTTGGCGGGATCCCTCTCCCCTGACTTTCCTAGCCAAGCACTTGCCACACCCACAACGCCACCTCATTTCACTCTCCCTTCTCTCACCTTCCTCCTCTCCTCTCTGTGCTCACTCCCCCCACTTTAGTATGCAGACCCTCATTACCACTTGCTTAGATGCTTGGTCTTTGGGGATATCAGAAAAGGTTTGCCAGTGCAGGACGCAGTGAAATTAAGCTTGGGAGCAAGAGTAGAGGGAGGGCTGCGTGAATGTATGGAAGTGGGGCTGGCAAGGTTCCTGGAAGTCAGCGGGCGAGTTGGGTTAGCACATAGCACGTAAAAAGGGGAAGAATGTGGAAAGAGGCTGGATGGGGGAGGCCGGGGACTTCACTGTCTGACTTAGGAGTTTCCGTTTTGTCCTCAAGGTAGTGGGAGGCCCTGAGGGCACTTGGACAGACAGGGGTCATAGTCAGACCTGTGTACCAGGAGGATGACTTTGGCTGTTAGGTGGAAGGTGGCCTGAGAGGTCGAGAGGCTGGTTGGGAGGCAGTTTCAGTAGCTCAAGGGTAGGGCGGTGGGGCCTCCACTAGAGGGGCGTCAGTGTGGAGAAGGAAGGAGGACATACATGAAAGATGTTCTAGATACAAAATCCACACAACTCCGTAACAGATGGATCATGGGGAATGAGACAAGACAGAGGGAGGTGTGGAAGTTGACACCAAAATTTTAAACCTCAGTGACTGGTGCCATTAGGAAAACTGGGAGGAACGGAACAAGTTAACCTTTGGACAGGTCGTTGGGTTATAATGGGCTGCAGCTGGATTTTAAATGAATGCTAGAAAATTATTCAATTTAGATGTATCATAGGTTTCTCTAACCTATATTTCAAAATAAAAACTTTGGCCTAATTCATCCATGCCTTGTAATTATTATTTGGCATTTTTAATTGGAATATGAAAGGCAAACAACACAGAATGTATCTGAACTGTCTCATTACTTTTCTCACTTTCTGGCTCAGCGCCCAGTGCCCTCTGTTGATTTCAAACCGCACATGTGTCTTACTTTTTTGGGGGCAGGTAGCTTTGGAGAGGCTTGATGGTGAGCACCTGGGGCAGATTTCAGTGGAGGAAGCAACAGAAATGATTTTGTCTCCAAAACCTACAGCAGGCTACCTGGATGGCATGAGTTTCTTGGACGAATTCAGGAGACACTCTGAGATCATGGCACAGACGTGTGACAGTTCACTCACCATAGGGGACTTCATTTAGGAGATGAGGAAAGCAGCTCAGTGTTTTTTCCTTTTTTTTTTTTTTTTTGGTTTGTTTTTGTTCTGTTTTGTTTTGTTTTGTTTTTTTTTTGGTTAGGCAGTGGGGTTAAGTGACTTGCCCAGGGTCACACAGCTAGTAAGTGTTATGTGTCTGAAGCCGGATTTGAACTCAGGTCCTCCTGAATCCAGGGCCGGTGCTCTATCCACTGTGCCACCTAGCTGCCCCCAGCATTTCTTGATTTGCTTTAAGAACATCCTCATCCTTAAGAGGAACCCACCAGGCAGTGTTTTAGGGTGGATCTGGAGAGAGTAGTTGCTGGAGTAGGAATGGAGTGCACCTGGTGGGGAAGAAAGGAGGCAGTGATGGCTCCATCTTAGGTCTTGTGACCAAGAAGCTGAGGGAAGCTAGGAGAATGTGCATGGACCCTCCGTTTGGGGAGGGATATTTATAAGGATCCCGAGGAATAAAGTGATGAGGCCACAAAAGAAAGCCATCTTTATGAGGAAAGAATAATTGTCAGTGGGGATTAACCAGGAACTCACAAAGTAACTTACCATTTTTGAAGCTGTCCAGAGGCTGAAGCAAGGATGGCTAACAAAGGATCCACCATGAACATCGAGGCACAGCCCTGTAAGGAGTGCCAAGTTTCTCCTTGCCATGGAAAGAGGGCTGGGTTTGGAGTCGGAAGACCGATGCTCAAGCCCAGCTCTGCCCCTTCCTTCCTGTGGGACTGGACTCTTCTCCTGCCCCTCTGGCGCACAAGGGGAGTGCACTGGGTGACGTTGCATTTCATGGCAGTCATCCTGGTCAATGGAAGGTGGCATTTATTTCTGATGAATGCTGAGGCTCAGAAGGAGTCGAGAGTGGCAAAGGAGGGAGGATGGTTGTTGGCTTTCATCCCTATGTGCCAGGCATGACCATGGGCCCTGGGCATACAAGGAGAAAAATGGAGCAGCCCTTGCCCTCTGGGAGCTTATACTTTATCAGGAAACCATCCCGATGTGCAGGTCTCCATCAAGGAAAAAAGAGGGTTCCCTATGGTTTGGTTGCTCAGGGGAGTGAGGTGAACCTGGTGGGGTCAGAGAGACAACTCCTTGCGGCTTAGCCTGACGTCTCTTTCCTCTGCCAAGGAGAATGGTTTCAGAAGTGGAAAAGACAGAACAAAAATGACTGTTCCAAGATAAGTCAGGCAGTATCCACAGAGCGGCCGGCTGCCCTTGGTGAGCGGCAGGAATTCAGGGCACTTCTCTGGCACAGATGGGCTGTGTTACCTAAGGACTGAAAGCACGGGGAAGTGTGACTGTGGAGAGCTCAGTAAGGATCTTGGAAATAGAGAGGAGAGATGCCGCAGTACTTTGTGGCCTGTGCTAAAGAGATGGAGCCTTGGGCTTGGAGGAAGGAGGACCTCAGTCCAGAGCTTGCCTCAGACACTTAACTGACCTGGGACAAGTGACTTATTCACCTCCTTCCTCATCTGTAAAATGAGGGCATGGAACTCAGCAGCCTAAGGTCCTTTCCAGCTTTAAATCTGTGATTCTTTGATTTGAATTTTTGAAAAAAAGAAAATAAACAGAATTCTGAAACTGTTCTTGAACCTATTAGAGAGATGGTGAGTAAAGGCTTAGAGGAAAAACCAGCTGATCACCTGCCTGTGCTCAGTGAGGACAGTCCCACTGGAGGAACCTTCTGTCTGCTTCGACAGGCGTCCTCCGCTGCTCGGTAGAGAAATGCTGCTTGAGGAGTGGGCCTTGATTTTAGCCAAGTCTGGCGTTCTCATGGAGAAGATGGCAGTGTGGGCTAGGCAGTATGGGAAAAGTAGACGGGTTTGGACCTGGTTGAAGGATCCAGAACAAAGAACGGAATCCTCCCTGGTTGGATGTCTGTCTGGAAGGAAGAAGCCCTGGGACATGTGAGCTTAAAATGTTTTTATCAGTCCATCAACAAACACTTTCTTAGTGCCTGTTAAATGTCCGGCAAATACTTGTTAGATGCTGTGGGCACAAAGACACAAATGAGCCATCTTCTGTGTGGCAGTAGCTCTTCTCTCAGGGAGAGAACATGCACAGAAGGCATATCCAGAATTGAAAAGGCCCGAGAGGCTGAGGGCCATGATTGGAAAGGGTGCGGCCCGGCGGAGTCCTGAAGGGGATGAGAGGCCGTCCACAATTCCCAGACAGTCTCTAGACCCTTCATCATTCAGGCTGCCCACTACCAGGCACTCCCCCACTCCTCCGTGGCCTTTGTGACTTGGGTAGAGGTCTCGATGGCAGCTTTCTGAGATTGGCAGATTCCCTACAGCTGGGATGGGGAGCTCACCTTGGGAAACAGAGGCAGGATTTGGGAAGATCTTGACCAGCTGGAACATTGGCGTGAAATTTAGTAAGGGTGGTCAGTACCAAGACTTACACTTGGGTTAAGAAATCAACTTCCCAGATGCATGGCTAGATAATGATTCATTTCCAAGTGGTCTGAGTTTTAGTGGGCTCAGCAGGGGTCTGTGTGGCAAACCAGCTAGATAAGGTTGGCATCCCAGAGTGCGCTAAGGGAGACATGGCCTCTAGAAGTAGGGACACAATGGGGATGCTGCTTCGTTCTGCCCTGGTCAGACCACACAGGGAGTATCACAGTCAGTCCTAGGCGTAGAAAAATTGGAGAGTGTAGAGTAGGGGAGTAAGAATGGATGCCCCATGACATGGGCTGAAGAAGCTGGTGGTGTTTATTCTGGAAAGAAGGCAAGAGTGGGAGAGCAGGATGGTAACTTACGTCTTAGAGGGTCTGAAAGTGTCTCACCTAGAGCCAGCTGGGTGGTACAGTGGATAGAGCACTGGGCCTGGAGTCAGGAAGAACGAAGATCAAATCCGGCCTCAGACACTTACTGTGCGACTCTGGGCAAGGCACGTAACTGCTGCCTGCCTCAGTTTCCTCAGATGTAAAACAAGGATAATAATAGTGCCTGCCTCCCAGGGTCATTGTGAGGACCAGATGAGATAATGTCTGTAAAGCACTTAGCACAGTGCCTGGCACAGAGGAGGCGCTTGATGAATGCCTATTCCTTCCCCTCTAAGAGGGATTCAGTCTTCCTGTTTGCCGTGTGGAAGTTGCAGCAAGGCAGATTTGGGCTTAATGAAAAGGAAGGCTTTGTGGCGGTCAGGGCTCTGTCCGGAGGTGGGACGGGCTCCTGAGCGAGAGCCTATGTGCGTCGGAGGGCTTCGGGATGGCCGCATACGTGATGGGGAGGGCCACGTTCAGCTCTCCCTCGGACCAGGTGGTCACGGAGACCCTCTGATCTGCCCTGATGGAAGGCCGCCATCCACACCTTCCCTCCTGGACCGCTGTTGTCCATGTCTTTCCATCAGTCTTCCGTCTGTAATTTCACGTTGTTCTGGCCTCTTTCCTCTCATGCTTTTAATGGATGGCAGGGTGGCGCCCTTGACCTGTGCCCTGCTCACTTCTGTTTCCAATCACAGGGTTTCTTCACGGTGTCTCGGCTGCCTCCTCTTGGGCTGTTGGCATCCCCATGGCCTCCTCGTTCCTACCACATCTCTATTTCTCTTACCCTTCTGTCACCAAAATTTTGGTGCTTCTGAGATGGTGATGTTCTCTAGTTTCCAGCCATATAATCCCAAAGAAAGAGTGTTGTTTTTTACGGTGACCCCTTGGGACGATGAGCTGTTTGGAACCATTGACCTCCTTGTATGGTTTCCCAGGAGGTCTTCTCCTTGTCGGGGTCAATCCTGTATGTCGGCCACTGTCCATCTTCACTGCCTACCCCAGCGAGCGTACGGATGGACGAACTCCATCAGCTTTGGGTTATCTCAGCAGTTTCTTACCAGCTTTTCCTATGGCGGGGGAGGGGGGTTACTTGGCCTGTAAGTGGCTGTGTATTACATTGGCAAGGGCCCTTAAGAAACAGGCTATTTTAGAGAGATTTGGTGGTTAGTCATTGATATTTTGGTGGGTGGATAAAGAGATGGCCTCAGAGCCAAGAAGACCTGGGTTCGAGTTGCTCCCACTGGCACATGCTCCTTCTGACCCTGGGTAGGCCCTCGGCAGCTCTCAGAGACTCAGGGGCTTTCAGAGAAGGGGCTGACCTGCTTAGGTCAGCAGAATGACCGGTTCTGTGCCTGTCTCTGTCTGTTGCAGCGTCCAGTCACTGAGAGAGTGAGTCCAGGCTCTGCTCTTCTTTTCTCAGGAGCCCGAGTCCTGGTTGTCCAGCTCGGTATCACGTCCCCACCATTGCTGTTCCAAGGCTGGGTTTCTCTCTCCCTGTCCGTGGCGTGTTCGTGGGAGGAGTGGGCTTGGGTTGTTTAGAATCTGGCACCTATTAAGAGGGGATTGTCTGAAGGTTTTTTATTGCCTGAGCTAATTAAAAAAAATAAACCCTCAACTTTAACCACGCTCCAAAGAGGTGTTTTTCCAACACAGTCCTTTGAGACGGGCCCAGAGAGTGGACTGGCCTCCTGGCCTGGGAGCGGGGCAGGTCTTTCTGGACTTTGCACACCAGGTACACAGCCCTTTTTCCTCCTCACCCACACGACAACACACTTACAACTCTTGTTTCTTCTTGAGCCTCGATGAAACCACATCGAGTTCCCTTAACAGAAGCGTAGCCCTCAAATTAAGTCTCTTCCTTCCTCAGAAGAGGAAAAGAGTGTCCTCTCATGTTAGCTGGTCAGAGGCGGGGCAGCATTGGCCTGCCCCTTGTCCAGCATCCGGGCTTTGGGCTCTGACTTGGGGGGCTGCGCTGAAAGCGCTGAGGGCCCTCTATTGGGATCTCAGGAAGGCCTCTGTTCTGTTTGACTCGCAGACACATTCCTTGACCCAGCGGAGGGCCGTCCAGGGTCGCAGAAAACGCTTCGATGTGTTGTTAGCTGAGCACAAAAACAAAAGCAGGGAAAAAGAGCTGCTACGCCATCCAGATCAGCAGCAGCAGCAGATCCCACCTCTCAGGGAACCACATGCCTCCCCTTCCAAGACGTCACCGGAACTGCACCAAAACTCTCATGGAGTGATGCCTGCAGAATCAAAGCCTTTAGTAGCTCATAAACCCAGACCTCACAACCCCAGTCTTCCAAGGTCAGTAATGTCCTCCTTCTTTGTAAAACCTTGTGCCCCAGACTTGCAGATGTTATGTAGTATGGTGTTGAGAGAGAGGGGATTGACTTTTGGTCTTCACTTTCTACCTGTGTTGGGATGTGGGTGGACACCATGACCATGTCTTTAGGATAAGGAGGCGATTTCTCATCGGGTGGTTGGACCACAAGAGTTTGAAAAAGTTGATTAGCCCAATATTTAGGTTTTGAAGAGGACTTGTTCCTGGACAGTCCCAAACAGTGAAGTAAATGAAATTCTTGGTTTCTTGTTCAGCAAACCATTACTCACCATGGGAGAATGTCTGAGCCAGGCCAGTTAATCACTGCTTGGAGCTTAGGGTATTTCCTGCAGTATGGTGGACAGAAACATATTTCACACGGTTCCTCTAGCCAACTTAACGTTAAGAATCTGTGAGATACATCACTGGTCACACACTACAATCCCCTCAGCTATTTTCTCTCTCCCCATCCACCCCCACATATATCTAGATACTGAGGGAGGAGGGTCTTATTTTTGCAGCATCTAAACAATCATACACATTTTTCCCATTTATTCAGGACTTGAGCCTGGGGAAGTGTCCCCAGAATTTCTGCAATGAAAAAATGATTTTGTCTACTTAATTGTATTTTTGTGTTCATAAACATAAATAAATACCTAGATAGTTATAGATACACCATGTGTGTAGGCACAGGTCTATGGGTGTATACATGTATACATTCATACAAATCCATGCAAATATACATATATTCATACACAAACATATTTTTAGCCCTCTTAATCTGAGGGCTTCATATGCAAACTCTGGGGAGAAAGGAAAGAGATTGAGAAATCAGTGTTTCCCTTATAGTAAGGAAGAGCTCTCTGTATGTGGAGCACACTGACTTCCTCAGTCTTTATGGATTCAGTACGCGGTCCCTGGGCCACTTATGTGGACATTTTCATAAGCACCTATTATGTGCTGTACACAGTGCAAGGCCCTGAAGCCTTGTAGACTAAAAGGAGACTGGGATAAGATGTACTTAAACAGATTCATGCTGGGGGGGGGGGGGGGGGGAAGGGTTTCTTTTTGTTGGGGCATCTGAACAAAACCTTGAAAGAATTCAGGCGGGAGGGGGGGTGGGGGTGCCTTCCGGCCGTGGGAAGCAGTGTCTGAAGGCTCGGGGGCAGCTATTGGAATGTTGTGGGAATAGGCCGTTTTGTCTGGCACGTAGAGCATATAGATGTGGGTCGTGAGAAATAGGTAGGTGGGAGCTTTGAATGTTAGACTGAAGAGTTTATGTTTTATCCTAACATAGGGAGCCACTGAGGATTTTTGAGGAGGGGAATGACCTGGTCAAACTTCTGTCTTAGAGATATGAAGTTGTCTGTTCTGTGCAGGATGAATAGAAGGAGGAAAAGGCGATTTGGAGTGGTCCAGGCACCTGAAGCTGGGAGGAGTCATGTTAGTGGAGAGATGGGAGAGATGCTGTGAAAAAGACACTGTACCTGATTAGATACAGTGAGAAGAGAGAGAAGTCAAGGGGGGACCCTGTGGTTATATATCTGGGAGAAGAGAGCCACAGATATGGGGCTGTTGGGAGCAAGGTGTGAGTTCAGGGAGAATGTGGAGAATTCCATTTTGTCCATGCTGGTTGGAGATGCAGACAGGCGGTGGGCATTGCAGGCCTAGCAGTTGGGAAAGAGATTCAGGCTGAATCCATAGATTTGGAAGTAATCTGTGTAGAGCTCCTAATTGGACCCAAGAGACCACATGAAATCACTGAGAAGGTGGAGAGGGAGAAGAGAAGTGGGCCCAGCCCCAGGCTGTTGGGGAGATGCTGAGTTGGGAAGAAGTAAACTCACATGGGTGCCCAGCAAAGGAGCTGGAGCCAGAGGCGTCAGAGAGGTGCAAGAGAAGCAGGAGGGAGTGTCCCAGAATGAAGTAGGAAGGGTGGGTGGCCAACACTGTCCGAAGGTTTAGGACAGTCGGGAAAAATGAAGGCTGAGAAAGCCGCTCACCCCGAGAGAGCGGTGTGAGCAGAGGGTTGGGGGTGGGGGGCGGGTGGCCAGAGGCTCAGTAGGGGGCGGAAGGCAGCAAGCACAGGTGCCCTGGGCTGCCACTGTGGCGATGGAGGAGACAGCTGGAGGATGCCAAGGGCAAGCAGAAGGCTTTTTAAGATTGCAGGCAGAAGGAAGAAGAGAAGTCAGTGTGCAGAGTGAGATTAAGGGTGAAAGAGGAAGAACGGCCAGTGGGATGGGCGCCGAGAGAGGAAGAGGAGACGGGCAGAAAAGGAGAGAATCGAGGCAGTGTAGACCGAGGGATCTGGGGGGCTCACAGAAGCTGGGGATGAGGTGCGCGAGGAAGGATCAGAGGAAAGAAGCCTCCGGGTGGTGCCACATGGCAGAGATATGGGGCAGGCACCGGGAGATACTGGACAGTATCATGGCCCCAGGGCCTGTCTTGTGCCTTTCTGTGTCTCAGCCCCTCTTAGCACAGCCCTATTGTTGGTTGACAGCACAGTAACTTTCTCCAGCACATGTAGGCAGTAACTTAGGATGGGGGGGGGGGGGGGCCCGGGGTGCCTAGGGTCAGGACAACCGGGGACGTGCAAACACCGTGAGCTAGAATTGTCTCCAGAGTTAAGGGAGGGAAGCAGACTGGAGCGAGCCTCATGGCCGGGAGAACGGGGGGATGAAGGACTGGAGGAGGGGGTGAGGATGATCAGTAGCTAAGGTCGCGTGGGTAAATAAACGCAGGTGTGGAGGCCGCTGCCGAGCCAGGAGGTCTGTGCATCCGCAGAGACACCAGACTGCAGGGTAGGAGGTAAAAGGGGACGCCGAGGCCAGCAAGGGTCCAGACCCTCTGCTGGGGACAGATGGAGGGACCTGAAAGCAGAGGCGAGGACACCAGGCGTGACATTACGCCTACTTCTGGTCCTGTCTCTGTCGGGCCGCCTGGTCTTGGAGAGAGGGAGGCCAGGGCTAGTGTGCTAAGGAGGAAACCCGGTTTCTTTGAGCTCAAGAAGATGAAAAGAGCTGAGGGTCCTGGGTGGGGCAAAGGGAAGTTTGTTACCAGCAGAGTCAGAGCTCCAGAGCACAGACTGGGGTGGGGTAGCACTGAGGACGAGAGAGTGGCGAGTGGGCTTCTGTATCCAAGATGGCGGAGCTGAATCACAGGGGCTTGGGCTTGGCTGGATGTAAGACGGGGAACTTGACTGGGATTCCTGCAGTTCTGTGATGGGGCCTGTCTTTCCAAGCACTAGGGAAGGAAGGGGTTGAGCTGGCGAGGAGCTGGGACCTAGGTCCTGGGGTCTGACCCATCCCCAAGGACAAGGGATGGGTGCACACATCTTCTGAGATGGGCCAGGAGATTTGTGGCACCCACAGAGCCTGGTGTCCAATGCCCTCGACCTGGATAAAGTCTTAGCAGCTGTGGTCCTGGGGTTGGGGCTCTGAGGACGCTGGTTCTTGGGACCCTCGTGGTGATGGACGGCTTGAGGCATGGTTTTCTCAGGCAGGTCAGTGAGGCGGGGAAGAGGAGATCCTTTGTCCCGAGGTGGCAGTAGGCTCTGAGATAAACCGGATGGGAGCCCTGCCTCTCCAGGCCCACTGAGAGAAGTTCCCGAAGTGGCCTCTTGGTCAGTTTCCTTCCACCTGCTGAGGGCCCTCGAGGTGGGAGTGGCGTGGCGTGGCGTGGCATGGCCTAGACACAGTTTCCATGTGGGGCAGGAGGTTCCAAAGCGAGCCCCCACCAAGGGAGCCATCCCCTACTCAGATGAGGGTCATTCTGCCCCAAGTCAGCCAGGGCAGGGAGGTGCTACTGACTGTCCCACTAAGAAGGGGTCAGCCAGAAGTTGAGCGGGTGCTTGGGCTCAGTCCAAATGAGGCCAGAGGCTTCCAGCGGCATCAAGAGGAGGTCAGGTGAACCTGACCAAATTATTCTTCTCTTCTTAAAAGTTTTCCCTGAGAGTTCTTCTGAATAGACAGTGATGAATGTGGGTTCTGTGGTAGGAGAGCTCCAGGATCTGTGATTGCACGGGAGGTTTGGGGTGCGTCTGACCCCTGAGAGACTCTGGAAATGGTCATGGAGAGGGGCTGTGGCCGACAAAGCCGTCCCGTGGCCACCATCCCTGGTGGGACGGGGCCCGTGACAAGGCAGACTCGGGGATGCAGCCCTTGAATGTTCTGCCCAGAAGGTGCTGTCTACGGTAGTCATCTGCCACTGCCGGGCCTTCCTGGGTGATGCGTCCCTGCCGGTGTTGGTCAGGGCATGCCCTTGTAGATCCACACTCAGACTCTTCCAGAGAAGCAGAAAGAGGCATCTCTGTGTATGTGTGTATGTATATGTAACATCCATAATCCATCCTTTGTTCAGCCACAGACATGGTTTATAGGTTATTGAAATTGTACTTATTTCAATTCCACAAGATTTACTAAGTGCCCAGCTCACATCAGTACAGGGGTATACACAGACAGGAAGGAACCACGTTCCCCAGGAGCTCCCGCCCCAGGGGTGGAGATAGGAGCTGGGAGGAAACGCCAGGAAGGGAGGGGTTCTCAGATCCTTAGAAGGGAAGAGTGGGAGCATCCCTCCATCCCAGACATGGAGGAGGTGGATGTCTGCTGGTGGGAGTGTAGAACGTGTGGACGGACAGGACGGAGCTGATCGGTTTGCCTTTCATAGAGGCCTGTCAGACTTTGCCCTCAGGAGGCTCCTTCAGCAGCTCTGCTGAGGAGGGTGGGAGAGGAGAGAGACTGGAAACAGGGAGGCCTGGGCAGTCCATGCTCGTGATCTGTGGATGGGAGGCGCACTCACCCCTGGCTGGCGGCAGCTCCCCTGCATGGAGCCGGGCCTCTCGCAGACATGGTGTCCTTGGGGCTGGGGCCCTGACAGGGCGAGGAGCTTGGGCCCTTGGCGGTGCCAGAGTCAGGTGGAGGAGAGAAGGTGCAGCTGTCTCTGTGTCCCACAGTCCCTGGGAGTGCCTTGTCTGCCCCTTCAGGCCTCCAGGCTTGCTGGCCCCACCCAGTGGGAACGCACCCTCCGATTCTCCTGCCGCTAACGAGTCTCCGCACCCTCCCCTGCCTTCGACTGAGCCAGCATCTCGGGGATCCAGCGATGAGGGAGAAGGCGACGAAAAGGAAGAATCTGTGGAAAAACTGGATTGTCATTATTCAGCTCATCATCCTCAGCCAGCATCCGTAAGTTCTGACTCCATCCAGCCCTCATCGCATAGGCATGACACTGGAGGGGCAGGGGAGGTTAGAAGCATGACCTGCCAGGCCTGCAACCCCCTGGGGTATCCCCTTCTTGTACAGTGGACCAACCAAGGCTACACCAGAGCAGAAGCTGGGGGTCAGGACACTCCCCAGCAGCCTTGCAGCAGTAATGAACAAGTTAGGTAAATTAAAGTGGGCGCTTGTACTCCATAGTGCCATGTTGGGAAAACTTACACTCTTTTCTCTTCAGAAAAGAACCAGCCCTTGGTATTTTCACTTTTTGTAATTTCTTGTAGCATATGGCCATAGGAGTTAAGATTAGTCTTTAAGGATTAGCTCCATTACTAAGGAGGTTAAACCGAAAGCTTTCATTGTCTTATCTCTCTTTCAGTTTTGCACATTTGGTAGTCGACAGATTGGAAGGGGCTACTTTGTTTTTGATAAGAGGTGGAACCATATCCGATGTGCCCTTAACTTTATGGTGGACAAGCATCTTAATTCCCAGATGTGGAAGTGAGTGCCTTTTCTTTCCATTGATTGGGAGGGAAAGGGTGGAGGGTTTCTCCTCAGTTTGTTTTTGTTTTCCTTCTTTTTCATGAGTCTAATTTCCTTAATGTTTTCATTCAAATAAAAATTCAGATAGCAAGTTTAGTACATCCTTGAGAAGCAGGTTTTTTGGAACCATAGCACACTCCTCATTATGTGTGTTGAGGAATGTTGGGATCGCCAGGGTTCACTGTAACCCACAGATAGTTCTAGACCATAGTTGAGCTGTTTGCTGCAGCTGCACACCCACAGCCTAAAAGACCCTTTCTCAGAATCAGTGAAGACGTATGTGGTTTCACTAGTTGTCGGTGCGTTTTGTTTTCTCTCCTAAACCTTAACAGATTATGCCTTTTAGCAAGCACAAGTCAGGAAGAAAAAGTTAGGAAGGGCCATGGTCATAAACCAGTATAGCTGTCATTTGGAAAACCCGTTACTGCCTGGCCCAGAGTGGGGTATTCAGCTCCCCTTTCTTGGTTTTACTTGTTAAGGACTCACACTTCTTGTGGAGTGCTGACATAATTCATTTAGGATTAGTGGAGTTAGTTGAGGAAGTCCAGAGGGTCTCCACATTCACCAACCTTCACACCCACCCAGTCTCAGTTTCTTGTTTGTTCTCCCTACCCACTGAGACTTGAAGCTGGTTTATAGAGTGTTGAATTTATTTTTACTAGTTTTCATTGGTCCTTCGTAGGATCTGGAGTTTGAAGGGACTTTGGAAAGTCTAGCCAGCACTGATTGGGGATGCTGATTTGCCCACCTGAAGATGGTTTCATTTCCAGTCAGTTCTGCCTGTATAGAAATGTTCTCTGAGAAATGCAGGCATTTAAGAAAGTGGGATTTCAGAAAGTGCTTGAAGAAATTGGTGGGCCACTTCAGCGCCAGTCTATTGTTATTCCATGACAGGAGATGAGAGAAGGTTAAGGGGCTTTATTGCTTCCACCTAAGAAATAAGCAGCCATCCCCTGTAGTGACCGCCCTGGCTATGAGAACCTAAGCTTTACTTTTGTGATCAAGTGGAGTCTTTTTAGATGCTCATGGAAAACCCTGAAAGCAATATGGCACCAGCCCACTGGCTCCAGTGCTTCTGGGCCCATCCAAAAATGCATTTCTTTGTCATATATTGACTTTGGTCAGGTATGCATAGAGCTAGCCTGCTAGAGCCTAGTTTTGTTGTTATCTTTAGGGATAAAGAAGAAAGATTTGTGTTAGACATACAGAAGGTAAGGATTGTTAACACCTAAGAATGGTTGTAGGAGTCCATTGAAAACAAGCAGTAACAACAACAAAATCAGGACCAGTCCTCCTCTGAAGGCGAGGTGGGTGTAAAACTTAGACCATCCAGAGTTTTCAGTCCTACAGTTTTATGAATTGGTCTGTCAGCCAGGAAGCATCTATTTAGTGTCTGCTGTGTGCCATACGCTGTGCTAAGGGATAGAGAAGGAAAAACAGTCTTGGTAGGAGGGCACTCGCAGTCTATGAACCATTTCTGTTTATTGTGGAATAGGGACCACTTAGTTTACAGAGAAGGAAACTGAAGCCGAGAGGGGAAGTGATGTTGAACCCTACAGGATCTTTAGCATCCCTCATCCAAATGGGTTGTTTTGCAAGTGACGAATTTGAGGCCCAGAGAGATTAAGGGGCTTGCCCAGGATTGACCAGGTAGTAAGTGAGTGAGCTGAGAACTGAGCCCAGGTTTTTCAGTCCAGACTCAGCCGTCTTGGTGGGCCTTGGCTCCCAGGCCAGTACTCTTTCGAGGCGGAACTCACTGAAGGATCTAGGTCTGCATCCTTTCCCTATATAATCGACATTTCCAGTTTGCCTTAAAATTCTCTCATAGGCAAGGATGTTCCGGGAACCTGCCGGTCTCTTTTGGAGCCCCCTGGTGGCCTCTTTTGAGCACTGCAGAAAAACAGGAGGATTGGTCCAGGATGAGAGATTGTCATAGCCCTTAACTGACTTCTCTACCAGCTCTTCTCTGGTTTGACGACCAGCCGACCTGGAGAGCTTTTCTTTTTTTTTTTTTTTCCCTTAACCAATAACCTTGTAATGTTAGAGCTGGAAGGGACCTGAGAGTGAAACGTCTTGTCCAACCCGCCTTGGTCCTCTTTCGTGCTACTGATGTTTTGTGTTTGGGTGCAACAGATACAGCATCTCCCGTCCTGGCCCCTGCAGAGTGGTCACCATTTTCCACTTTAGTCAGTTACCATTCCAGAGCAGAGGGAAGGATGTGTGTTTAACTTTAGTTATTTGGTACCAGCATCATGCATGGTATTTAAGCAGTCGGTGGGTATTCAGTAAGTCAGTTTACTAAGCACTTACATTATCCTTGCTAATTTTCTAATAGGAGAGACAAGTACATATATTAGCATATATGTAGAATAAATACAGAGTCTTTAAGAGAGGAGGAATCATTGGCAGTTGGAGAATAACAGGAAAAGCCTCATGTGTTTCCTCTTAGAGGAGGTGAGGAGGGTTTAGTCCAGCCCTAGGAACTGACCCCGAAAGACCCAGGGCCTTGAAAGACACACAGTCAGCAACAGAGCGGGCCTTGAATCCTTGCTTATAAGCATAAGTTACAGGCTCTTACTTTGCTTTAATTGGGAGAGGTTCTTTCTCTTTCATTTCTTTGTAAATAATTATTGATGCAGTCTGACGTTACTGCTCCCCAGTCTGAAGTAACAGGAGATTTGAGACATTTGTGCATTCCAGGGGAGGACCTGACAGTGGACAGCAGGTGATGGGGCAGTAGTTTTGAACCTGTCCACAGTTAGGATTCCTCCTCCGAGGTTTCCCTCAGAGTTTAAAGGTGTCTTGTGTTCATGTGGGGTTGGAGTCAATCTTCCAAGGACACTGCCCTCCTACTGCCTTTTATCTCTTTCTAGGAAAATCCCTCCAGCACCTAGTAATTTGGCATCTGCGCGTGTTCCCCAGCGTACAAATCCCATGCCCCTGTCGCCATATGGTGTGAGCCCCCCAGGTTCTGGTTCCTCCACCGTCTCACCATCACCAGTGTTGATTTCGTCCTCCTGCATCCCTCTGAACAGCAAGTCTGTACCAGCCCACGGAACAACACTTAATGCCCCCCCAGCTGCTCTGGGGGTCGTGGACCCCGCGTGTGGTGGCCAGGCCCGACAGGGGTCTTCTTCATCCCCTTCGGCCCCTTCAGTGCTTTCCTCAATCCCTTCCCCGGTGTCCGGGAAACCTCAGAAACTGAAACCCACCAAGTCTTTGAAGCCTCGGGAGTCTCCTGCTAACAGCACGAACTGCAACAATATTGGTGGCGGCAGCAGCAGCAGCAGCAGCAGCTCAGGAAAGAAACGCAAAAACAGTTCCCCGCTGTTCGCACACTCTTCCTCCTCCTCCTCCTCGTCTTCCTCCTCGTCCTCGTCCTCCTCCTCTTCTCCTCATTCCACAGACTCTTTTAGGAAAAACTGTGTGGTTAACTCTGGAAACTCTGGGACCGTTTATCCTTCCCCAGTGACATCGTCCCATAGCATGGGCCTCAACTGTCTGACTAACAAAGCCAACTCTGTGGGCGCGAGGCACGGCCAATCAGGGAGGGGCCCCCTAACAGGGAGCCCATCGGAATCCATCAAGAGGATGAGCGTGATGGTGAACAGCAGCGATTCCACTCTTTCCTTGGGCCCCTTCGTCCATCAGTCCAGTGAGCTGATGATGGCCGCCAGCTCACATGGTGGCTTTTCCCACTCCCACACCCCTCTCGACAAACTCCTGGGGAAGAAGAGGAAGGGGTCCCCCAGCTCCAGCACCATCCATCACAGCAGCCAGGCCAGCAAGGTTGCCAAACTGCCATCCATGAACAGCGTTCACACCAAGCACCCCGGCCCAATCCCCGGGACGCAGGGGCTGGCAAACAACTCTCTTCTTCCTCAGGTAAGAGGGGACCACCGTTAAGCTCCGCGGCCAAGCGCACTCGCCTCCTCTCATTGTCCAGTAGCCAATACCTGGTATGCATCAGCATTTCTTTACCTTGTTTGTGTCCTGGGCCCCTTGGGCAGTGTCCAGGGAAGCCTGTGGACTTCTTCTCAGAATGATGTTTTTAAATGCATAAAATCAAACGCATGAGTTGCAGAGGAGACCAATTCATCAAAATATTTTTACAAAAAGTTCAGACTCCAGGTGAAGAACCCTTGGTATAGATCATGGTGCCTTTAAAAGAAAAATCTGTTTGTGACTGTTTAAAACACTGCACTGGGCCTAACTGCTGTCACTACTAAACTTGAAAGGTGGGCCTCAGGAGGGAAGTGAGGAGGGAGGGTCTGGAAGCAGCGGGGCCATAACCAGACTTGGGGGAGGAGTGAAGGCAGAGGTCCTTTCAGTGGCTAGTGAGGAGCTGTCCAAATCTTGCCGCTTCATCATCTGCCACAAGTCAGGAAGAAATTAGTGCCCATTCCATTGTCTGTCTCAACCAAATACACTGAAGACAGCCAAACTGAAACTAGATTGAATTGGAAAGAAATAACCTTACTTTTAAAGCTGATTAAGGTTTTCTTCTAAGCTTTGTGTTTCTTTCCCCCTAGCCAGGTTCGCAAACACGTAGTGCACATCTTTCAGCTGATCACTTTTCCATGGTGGCTGACCGGCATGCATCAGAACTAACCCATGCTTGATTTAATGTGTTAAAAGAGAAAGCTACTTTTGGCAGCCACTGTTAAAGAGCTGCAGTCCTGCTCCTCATATCAAGAGCTGGTTTGGCTTTCCACCACTTGACTCTTAGCCTCCTTCCCATTTCACTCATCAGGGTGCTACTGCAGCCTCATTCACAAATCAGCATTCCCCTGATTGAAAGTCAAGCCACCGCCCTTTATTCTTAGTGGCTTCATGTTGGCAATTCCCTTAGTGACCAGTTTGGGGTTTTGGTTTGTTTGTATTTTAAAAGGGAACACCAGGCAGCCCCTGGATCCATTTTCCTCCAGGCCAGTTTGATCAGAATTCTAAAGAAGAGGGAAATCATTAATTTCAATCGCTTTCAACGTTCACTCCTCTTCTGCTCTTAGAGAATTGTTCTATACATGTTTGAAGTGTTTTGTTGTGTTCCTTTGGAGGAGGGGGGCAGGTGGTGGGAGGCCCCAAAAAAAGAAGCATTCTTGAGTTTTCTGGTCACCATTAGTAATGGGTATAAAAATTAGGTGCATCCCAAATCAGAAGCAGCAGCCAGAGTCCAAGAGTGACCCCGCAGAGGTGTGTGCCTGGCTCAGCCGCTTGGATGAGCTAGGTAAGAGCAGTCTCCTCATTCTGAGGCCAGGCTTCTCTGAGGGAGTGAGCTGTATTTTGGCTTTTAGCATCTTTCTGCCAAGCAGATTCCAGTGGAAAAGACAGAGAGCTGAAGCACACTGCTCAGCCCCTGAACTCGGCGTTTTTTTCTCTGAAGGCGACTTCTGACTTCTCCAGTCAGAGCTTGACAAGGAGATAGATGTCAGTGCTGTTGAATGCTATTTATTGCCTTTTTCCCGAAAGTGATTTAAATTTCTTGTTCCACATTGGAGTGAGCTTTCTCCGAAGCAGGCCACTTTCGCTCCCCTCCCCACAGGGCTGAATTGAGGACAAGGACAACAGAGCTGGTGGTTGTGGTAACCCAAGCATGAATGAAGTGCCTGTGCCACGCAGGGAAGGCTCAGAGCAGGCCCCCCCCCCCCCCGAGGTCCAGGAGATGGGGGAAGGTTGCCCATCTCCAAGTGAGCGTCCTTCAGCTTTTGGCCACTAAGGCCTTTACTGCATGATGTTCCTGGAGCCAGAGTGGGGGCAGACTCCCCTTTCCTCTGCCTGTAATCTGTAGGACATGGGATCTACCCGTACCTGTGCCCATGCTTGACCTTGCTTCAGTTTCTAAGTATGCTACCTCAGATGCCTTTAGGGAGATGAAATTCTTTTGTTACTCAGACCAGAAGCAAATGGAACATGGGAGCTTTCTCGAGGTCAGGCCCAAGCATTGTTAGCAAGCCTTGAGGCACCGCTTTGCCCAAGAAGATGGAGTTTTTTTTAGATTTCGAGGCAGTTGGAATTCTGTTGCTGGCTATCAGGGTCACACCTTGGTGTATTTTTGTGGCCGTGTGCACACATACCACCTTAGGAATCGTGTTAAATAGCACAGGACAAGTTCCATGTTGGCTAACTCACCTTTCCCTTTGTATCTCTCTTCTCTCTCTCCAAAGCCAAAGGCACGTCCCTGACAGCTGGAATAAATACCATAGTGAGAAAAGAACTGGACAATTTTCACTACAAGTAAAACCTCCACCTGGCACTCTGGACTCCACGATGCCTTTGAGTTTATCCCAGCTTCCTGCGGTCCTCAGGTGTAGAAATCTGCTGGACTGTTTGTTGTTTTAAAAAAGGAATTCCCTGAAGCCATGTCTGTAGCAGTGAACACCCTTAATAGACCCTGGATCGAGTTCAGCCACAGAATTGCTTTTATCAGTGTTAAAAGTGGTCTGGACTGCTTGCTACAAATCTGTGAGATTTTTACTTGCAGGAAGACATCAAATTGCCATTCTTTGATAAAGATTGGCTGGGCAAAAAATGTTTTGGGCAGAACATTCCCCTAGACTTCCTTCTTCCCCAGGCCAGCCCCCCTGGGGTCATCCACACGCAGTTAGGCACCCGCCCTCTGGATGACACCCAAGGAGGTATGGGGAGTGGCCCTCCAGAAGGGAATGTGGCTTTATTGTTCGGGCAGTGGAAAACAGACAATAGCCCAACTCGCAGAACAAAACAGGCCATATTTTTGCCCAGCCTTTTGCAAGTAATTTGGGATAAGGAGCTGTCAGGAGTTTCCAACTTTTAAAAAAAGTTAGTTGTTTTAAGCCATCGATGCCCAGAAAGCGAGTATAAACTATTTTGAAGGAATATTTTCCATGGTACAAAAGCAATTCTATGTGCTTTTTGAATAAGATGCAACTGAAAAGGAATATAAAAATGCTAACTAGTTTTGATAGAGGAAAGCCAAATGAAAAAAAAAAAATCACTGTAGGGGAAAAACCCTCTGCGGAGATTTCCAAAGAAATGTAATTTCTTTTACAAGGGTATTGCATAGAGTCTTCACATTGAAACAGCATATCAAAGTAGGTTGATTATACCTTCTAGCCTCGTTCTATTTTCTAAAAATTGCCTTTTTAAGATGAAATTAATAGGATACCACAGAAATGAGCATTCATATTTTTAATGTTTTTGGAGGTGAGTTATGTTATCCTCAACCTCCTCTGAATACTGTAACAGAAATCAGTTTTAAACATCAGCTTGACCTGACCCTGTTTGTTTCACCCCCTTTATGTCCCTGCAGATAACTGGTTGGGTGGTTTTTTGCTTCTGTTTTGTTTTGTTTTTTTTGGTGGAGGGGCTGGGGGGGTGGGCAGCATGGAGTGGAAATTTTCACATGCTGCATAGAGAGAGCATTTGTTTTCATTCATGTTCATTTCTCAAGGATCTGGGCTTTTACCTTCCCAAGAGGGTTTTCTGATCCATCCAGGACATTCCCCACCCCCCAGAGTGAGATCTTTAAAGGGCTTAATGTTGTCAGAATGTAATTGCTGGAGAAGTCACTCGTCACTTACTTGGGGGTGAAGGGGGCGTTACCTGTGTCTCTCAGAGGGCTGATCTCCCCTGCTGCTGTCAGTCAGAAACTCCCTCAGTGCATCCTTCATTCTCCCCTCCACGCCCCTCCTTTTCCCCTGCTCTCGTGTCATGAGCTACCATTCCAGGAACCCTGAAGCCAACAAATGTCAACTGCTCCAGACTCATTAGATACAGACCTGGGCACGTATGTGACAGAACAACAGATCCTTTATGCAGACACTTTAAAGATAAATGTATGTAAAATATTAATTTTTTTGAAAGGGGTGGGATATTTTTCATCGATTATGCAATCAGTCACCAAATGTTTTTAGGACAAAATAGGACAGCTAATAGAAGAGTGCGGACATGTGGAAGGGGCTATTTTCTTATGTTATTTGGAAAAAACCAATAGAATGACCAGGTGACCTCTAAGGTCCCTTCCAGCTCCAAATCTATGATTTTATGACCTCCCAAGAGTCAGGCAGTGGGTGGGGAGGAGGGGGAGCGTCCAAACGGCCCCTTGGGGGGTCCACGTTGGGTGTCACAAGGGCATTTTGGATTTGAGTAGATTTCCGTTTCAGAGCCAAGAAGGGAGTGCGACGGCAATAAACAAAGTCAGTTTTAAGTGATAGAATTTGTCTAAGATTATGTTACTCGAGAAAAAGAAGTAAAAAGGCTACAATAATGGCAAGTCAGAGCTGATTCCGAATAATGTAGATATTTAGACTAGCAAGTGTTGATCATTTGGATTTCTTTTAGATTGGGGTTTTTAATTCCATTTTCATTATGTCTCCTGGTAGTACGTACATAAAGCAACCGGATTAGGAAATTAGCCATTTTGAAACCTGCCTGCCACAAACCAACCTACTCATGCAGTGCTATGGCATTGTAGACTGGTGGGTTGTTTTTTTCTTGGAACTTTTATTTTCTCCTACAATTATTTTAGTACTTATAAATAATTAAGATAATTTAAAACAGTAGCACAAGTACTTTTTGGATTAAATTAACTTGCAAAACCAAATTTGCAGTGGTTGGGTTGTTTCTAGACAGATTTTGGTATTAATTTAAAACCAAGACAATTTTTATATTCTTTCCATAGAATTTCATGACAACTCCTGCAGTTTTCTTAACCTATTTAAAAAAAAAATTGCTGCAATGATGAACAAAGAATTATACAAAACCTACTTTTGTATCTTTATTTTGGAATTTCTTGTTCTATTATAAATATTGAAGTATCCCTATTTCAGAAAACATATTTTGTTAAAATTGATTGTACATATTTAAATATGTATTTTTGCACAGGTCTTTTTTTCTTATATCCAGTTTTGGTACAATTGAGATCATCTAGTATTTATTTATTAATTAATAAAAAAAGTAAGTACCTTTTTATAATTTGAAATGGTTCACTGCCAAGCCAATAGTCCTCGAACTTGCCTACTTTACAATTTAAGGGATGCCTCTGTTTCGTGAAAGTCTCTGTCCCTTTTAGTGTCTTGGGAGTGGATTCATAGAGATTAACTGGGCATTGCGTCTAGTAAATTGCCTAATTCCCCAGAAGACTACATTTAGTTAAGTGACACACTGCTTTTCCTTTGTTCATGTTTTGTGGATGCGTGTCGATGCAGATGTCTGCTTACTCTGAGAGAGAGAGAGAGAGAGTGTGTGTGTGTGTGTGTGTGTGTGTGTGTGTGTGTGTGTGCGCGCGCGCGCGCGTGTGCTTGCATGTGCAAGCCACTAGTATGTTGTGGTTTAAAACTAATGGGAAAAAAAAAAACTGAAAAGTGCCTGATAACTAGTTTCAAGCTTGGACTGTGTAGACAGATTCTCCTTTAAAAGACTTGAATGTTAAGTTGAATATATTTTTATTTTGTTATAATTATTATTATTATTATTTTTTTTTGGAGCTTGCTTTTTCCACCTAACATCATTTCCAAAATTTTAGGGGAGGAGTTAAAACAAAATTACCTAAGTTGGTAATTGGATAAAGTATTTTAAAATGAGACATTTTGATTTGAAACAATCCTGGTGGGTGATAAACTGTCCCACGACGCCAAGAGTTGGAATCTTTTTTCAGCCAGCAGTTTTACAAGACACGTCTTGTTTTGTTAATTTACTCATAAAATGCAGAGTTTAAAATAGAATATGTAAAAGATTTTGTACTCCAAAAATCTAACAAAAAGAAGTACCTCCGAGAACGCTGAAGGAAAAAAAAAAGCATGATCTGAGAAATGTAACTGAAGGCCACCGTCTTCCTCTAAGAGTTCTCTTGCCAAGGGGCTTCCCTGCTGTCTCCTTCTGCCCCCGGGAAAGAGTTGGGCTACCCGTGATTGTTAAGGGTTTGCTGTTTAGCAAACAATAATCATTTTTACCTTTTGTGCAAAACCCGTTACATTTTCAGATCGTTTAAAATGAGCACTACGCGCTATCGATGTGAATGTAGGGCCTGGAAAGCATCTTGCTCTGTTTTGAGCCTGGTTCTAAAAGCAATCTCCGGTGTCAAGTGTGTGACTAGTGTGTTAATTTGTGTACAAGACAAAGAGCATCTCAGCTGGACTTTGGGTTGGCTGCTGTGTAGTACATGAACAAATGTCATGGGATAGAAAATGACTTTGGATATTTAAAAGAAAAAGAAATATATAGTCTATTTGTTTTGTAACAAGTTTCTGTAAATAAAATAATTTATACTATTTATAAGAAAAAGTTGTGCTTTGCTTTATGAAAAATTAGTTTGTGGAACAAACCTGTTACTAAACCAGGCAATAAAATGAGGACTTCTCAATAAACAAGGGTTGTTACATGAAATACATTTTACATGTTTCTGCTTCATTATAGTCCTATACACCTACTTTTCAAAGGAGTCTTTAAATCTAGAATGGGGCTTTCTTCAGCCTCAACCACAAAGGTAAAGTAGTGCCTCAGTTTCCTGCTGAATATTTTTAAAGGGCATTTTCATATAGAAAAATATTTTAAAAGTTTTGCCTATGTATGTGTTATCTGATTGTGGTTTATATTTTTCACCCCCTAAATTTTTACAAAAGAAACAGTGAGAGTGGGATAGGCTGAAAAATTTAGCTCTGTCCTCGTGTGGTATTTATGTGCAGTTCTTGGATATTTACAAGTTTTCATCGGATCCTCTTCCCTTTTCCTCCTTGGATTTTCTTGTTAGCCTGGGCTCAGCAGTCCTTGACTTCTTTCTTAAGGGCTTCAAATCCCTTTAAATAGAATTTCTATCCAAATTCTATCCAAAATCGTAGAATTGGGACATCCACTGCTCTGTGAGTTCAGGAGTTGTAGAAGCAGCTACACAAAATCAGGCTTAATACAGAACTGAACCATTTGGTTGGAATGGGAAGTGTATGTTTTTTTAAATTAGTTTTCATGGGTAGGTTTTGTTTTTACATCATCTGAAAGTCCCCTGTACCCCTTCCTCTCCCCACTTCCAGAGAGCCATCCCATATAACAGAATGAAAGCAACCAGCAAAGCTGCCAAGTTGTAGAAAAACTCTAAAGATTGGTAAGCAGTTGTTGCAGCTTGTGTTCCGACCTCTACCCAAAGGAAAGGTGGGGAGGTGGCTTTACTGGGGCCATGCTTCTTTTGGGTAGTTTGGCCTTGTTCCTTTCCTTTTGAAGTTGGCTGCTCTGTCCACTTACCTTGTTGGAGTCATTGTGTAAACTGTGATTTTGACTGCCGATTTCTCTCTGCAGTTGATGTGTCCGAATTTCCCCAGGATTCTCGGATTCAACATCATCCTTGTTTCTCACAGCATAATAATGTTCCATTAAGTTCACAGACCGGTCTGTTTAACCACTCCCCAATCACTGGGTGCCATTTCTTTGCTATCACAGAAAGAGTTGCTGTATTTTGGTGCATATACAAATGTGTGGACTTTATTTTTATAAGTGGTCTCCTTGGGGTATATTCCTGATAGAAGAATCCCTGAGTCAGCGGGTAGAGATAGCTTAGTTCAGAAGTGTGTTAAACATGTATCTGGGAAAGGCTCTTGTCTAAGATTAATTTGAAAAATTGACCCACAGCTTATGTAATATTGTGGTTAAAGACCAAGACCTATAGGCCTAAAGCACTGAGAAATGGCCTTTTTTTTTTTCCATTCTTAAAAGGATAAACCAAATTTTGTTGCAAATATGTTAAGCACAATTTTCAGCTCTCCAGCAGGCTTGATAAATAGCAGGTAGGAATCTAAATACCAGAGTTGGACTTTGAGACGGAAGCATAGATTTAATTTTTAGACCACGGATCAGTTATTGGCAGAAAAGGGCTAGACTTTTATGTAACCAAAACACTTTCAAAACGTAGTCAATTGGATTTGCCTATTGCAAGCAATATTTTAAAAATCTCAATGCAATAAAAATCTCTGACTGGAGTCACGTCCTTTATATGAAAAAGCACTAATATCCCTCTTGGCTTATGTATAACATCTCACAGTAGTTTGTTAATGTTTTCCAGATAAGCTCTGATCTTTAAAAAAAAAAAAAAGGCATTACTAAAAAGGCATACAGTAATAAGTCACTATGTAGGTCTGATAAGACAAGGGCACTCAGATACATTTTGTTGTAAATACACTAAACGAATAATACTCAATTGGAAAGTAATCTTGCTCAGTGAATGTTTATCCTTTTCCAAATGACAAGGACTGATCCATTCAGCTCTTCATGGCACAAAAGCAGCTGAGACTAAAGAGAGAAAGTGCTGTGTTTAATTTTCTAAAGAGAATACCCAAGTATGTAAAGTTGCTAAGTGACTTCTACCACCTTACTAGTGAAGGAAACAAGTTTGGGAGTTCATAATGAAATTTTCAAAATCATTCTAAGTCTGTTTTTAATAGGCCACTGTGATAGTAATAGATTGAAAAGGCTTAGATTTTAGCATAACGTTGGTGCTTTATCCTTTGTATTTATCATGGGCAATGTCTCTTAAACCTGAATATTAAAATTGATCTGCATTGTTGGCAGTAGGTAGGAACTAAATTATCTTAGAATTAATTTTTTTTTTCATTTTGATTCATTTAGGTTGTGACTAAAAAGCCTTATTTCTAATTTATGGTCTTTTCAGAATAAGGAAAAGTAAAATATTTGAGAAAAATCAAGTACTTTTCATTTTTCAATTCAGAGGTTTGATGAAAATGATCACTTGTAGCTTAATAGTATTAAAGATGAATTTAAATCAAGCTGATGTTACTTAGTACAAAACTCTATCACTGATAAAATCATTCTTATATTAGGAAGAGTTCCTTTTAATTAAAACTAGAAAATGAATGCAGAGCCCTTCGAAAGTGAGGGGTGTGGACTTCAGTTTTCCACGATTGCTAGGGTAAGGGCAACAGCATCTAGTGAAGGAAAAAGACGAAGTAGCCGGTCAGTACATCTGGTGGAGGTAGATGTGAACTTGAGGGCCAAGAGGAAGCAGGCAGCTCTGGCCCTGCTCGGGAGGGTGAGTTCAGAGCATCTTGCGAGCCCTTGTCAGAGTAGTCTAGGAAAGAAGACTGACTGGCTGGAATATTTGCATTTCTGTAGTGCACACATATATTCAGATACATCGTATGCACTCAGTCAAGTCCACTAACTACTAACTCGGGAAATGGCCCACTTGTTATCCACTGGACCAGTGGTGCTAAAGGGGAAGACAGAACCTTGCAGAACTTGTCGATTTAAAGATGTTGTAATGAGACACAGCACACTGTTCTGTGCCACACTTGTGGTCTGAAAAACACAGACAGATCCAGGTGAAGGAAATCTGCAGGGGACAATCAGGGAAGGCTTTACAGAGAAGTGGTGGTGCCCAACTGGGTCTTCGAAGAGAGAGCAGTATTGTGTGGTGGGAATGTGCTCCAGGCAGGGAAGACATATCTTGGTACGAAAATCCCGTGGATTACTAACAACTGCATGAGAAACCAAAGAAAGTGGTCACTGAGGTCAGCTTCTTGTTGCCTGAAGATCCCACCACTGGGAGGGTCAGGTAAGGGAGGTCAAGGCTGTATGGCTCCCGGTCATCCAGCCTAGATGGAATAAAGGCACATCTCCTCGAGTTTGTCTGCTACCCAGCTGAATTCCTAGGGGAGTTACTACCTGCCAGCAGCTCATCCTCCTTTGTGATGCTTCAGGAAATACTGTCCACCAAGGGTACCCCATTCCCTTTGGGTCAGGAAATGCCTGGCCCTAAGGTAAGTCATAGCTGGTTTGGGTGGGCAAAGTACAGCTTTCTGAGGTGGTTTACTGCCTGTGTTCCATTACTTTGTGTGATTACTCCACGGTAGAAGTGGGCCCTAAATCAAGCTTTTTCACAATTTGGTACAGATACATTGCATGATTAATTATTGCTAACATCCCCACATTTGGTTATCTCATCATGCCCCCTGGTATGACAGGCTGGAAATCTCCCTGGCTACATACAGGCTGCCTACCAGAGTAGCTCTATAGCTACAGCACACTCCAAGGGTCTCACCCCCTTTGTCTCCTCTTCCTGTGATTTGTTGTGGCTTTCAGGCCTCGAGGCTGAGGATTCTGACTCGCCCCCCTGCATTCTGGCTGCCAGTCCTCACTGCACGTGGCATCTCCTTCAATCCTTCCAACACCCTTGGTCGGTAGATGCCATCCTTGACTCCAGGTCCTAGGCCTCAGCTGCCTTGAGAGCCTGTTTCCCCCCAGCACTCCTCAAGGAGCGCACCATCCCCTCTGGGCAGAGGATGCATGGCCCTAATAAATCATCGGTCTAGGTCAGACCTGTAGCACAGTCCAACAGACAGAAGGTTGAGTTTTCCCAAGAAATGTCAATCCTCTTAACGCTTTCTTTTCCCTCCATCAAGGAACTTTTAAAGATTAACACACTTAATGTAGTGTTAAAAGTCCTGGCCCCTTCCCCTCTCCATCTCATACCATGCTGCTCCCCAGACCTTGAGACAGAAATGCTCATGACTAGGTAATGATTTGCCCTAGCATGTGATGACAGAATTCAACTTCTAAGTTATTACTCCATTATTTATATATGTTTCACTACAACAAGATCAATACCTTCTTCCAAAGGGTGGTTTTGCAATACAATCTTTATCTTGCCAACAACTTCCATGACGCCTGAGTAATGTTTCACCCACAGCCAAAAAAAAATCAAGTGTTCGTAGGAGGCAGCCCCCAAGCACCCTTGGATGCGGGGACTCTGGCTCTTGTCACTTAAGGCATTCCAGGTCCAAAACCATTATAGAGGAAGGGGGCCTGAGGCCAAGAGAGACTGAGTGGGAGACCCAGGGTTTGAACCAGAATCAGATAGACCGAATGAGCCTGAGCTCTGCCCATTGTGCCATACTCGGGCAGTCACTTTGCCTCAGGGCACACACTAATTCCTCACCTGCAAAATGAGGACTGGATGAGATAAAAGTCACTTCTAGCACCCAAATCCCCATTAGACTTGGCTATCCAACAGATATGATCCAAGTCAACTTTTTGTGTGGCTACTAAAAGAAAGACAGCCTGTTACAGGACAGTCACTATCCTATAACCTGCCATCTGTCTCTGTAACACTGAATAAACCCTTTAGAAAATTGGAAGGAAAAAAAAAGGCAACATGGTGTAATTACAGTGAAACCCTTGCCTTGGAGGGCCAGCGGTCCCTTGTGTCTCCCGGTAGCGCAGGCTAGCTGTGGGACTGTGGCCACAGGCCATAACCTCTTAAGATAGGAGCTAGACCAGAAGAGTCAAGGGCCCTCCTAGTTGAAAAAAAAAAGTGGTTGTGCCATTGGGTTACTAGCCACATTTGATTTTAGTAATCAGTGTTATCTTGTAATTTTTTAAAT